AGTCATGCTTGAAACAGGAATAAATTGGAGAAACATTTCCTTGATAATGTTTTTATGAGTATCTACATATTGCGCACACAACGACATCTGCTCAATGCCAGCAATGTCCGTGGTCTCATCTGCCAAAATTGAGAAGCATGGGGCAGAATTGATTTCAATAATCAATTTTTCTAAAATGATATTGTTGCAATTTCAAATATCAATTATCTCATTTTGTATCCTAGGGCTGAGATAAGTAGCATTTTTATTGGTACTAATGAGGCTCTCCATTAATACAGGGTCTCCTAATGCTTTAAATTTATAAGTCCACGGAAATTACCTTCGTTATCATTATTATTAAAATTTAAGCTTCCTGAATCCTTGTGGTCACGAAGTGCTAGGCCTTGCAAGCCACAATATAAAATAGCCTCAATAGTTAGTTTTATCTTGCCTCTATTTTCTTTTACAATTTTAACCCTATTTTTATCAATTATTGATGAAATGGGAATTATATCCCCCCTTTTGAATTGATTCTTTTGAGGAAATCATCAGTTCACAGCTTTTGTTTATTAAATTATTATACTATACTTTTTTGCTTTTTGGCATGATTTTCACCTTCAGCGTTTTTTAAAAAAAGTCTAATATCCATGACTAGAAATTTGAAAATTATAATACCGGGAAATTTAAAAATAATAGAAAAATATTACGCCACAAGGAAAACTTGAAAATGAAATTAATTGATAAAGTAAATTAGTAAATGAAAAAGGTAATAATATAAAAATTTAAAAAGAAATAGATATGAATAATTATAATAAAATATAAAAATAATATTTTTGAAAAATATGTCCGGCATCTGCATTTTGGCTTTGGGGGGAGGATTTGTCCCCCTGCCCCCCCCCCCCCCGCTGCGTACGCCAATGAAATGTACCAATTTGATTCATTAAAAATTTTGTGATATTTTAAAGCGTATTAGCAATAAAGGATATTTTAGATATTTATCTGTTCCTGCTTTAAATAAAATTGTAAATTTAAATGCACCAATTTGATCATTAAAAAATTGATATTTTAAAGCAGTAAAGGAAGGATATTTTATGTCACTGAGTATTGGCAGCAAATGATATTTTTCTGTTACTTATATTCTCTTATTGTTTGATATTTAATTTTTATTGCTTGACATAAATATAATTATAAATTAAATGTACCAATTTGATTCATTAAAAATTAGATGATATTTTAAAGCAAGTATTGGCAATATAATTACAAATTAAATGTACCAATTTGATTCATTAAAAGTTAGGTGATATTTTAAAGCAAGTATTGGCAACAATTGATATAAATATGATTATAAATTTAAAAGTACCAATTTGATTCATTAAAAATTTTGTGATATTTTAAAGCAATAAAGAAGAATATTTTCCTGTTATAGGTATTCAATAAAGAATATTTTTGACATTTAACTGTACTTGCTTGATATAAAATTATAATTATAAATTTAAGTGTACCATCATTAAAAAATTTGTGATATTTTAAAGCAGTAAAGGAAGGATATTTTCTGTCACTAAGTATTAGCAGCAAATGATATTTTTCTGTTTACTTATATTTTCCTATTTTGATATTTAATTGTTATTGCTTAATAAATATAATTATAAATTTAAATGTACAGATTTCATTCATAAATTTTAGGTTTTATTCTTAAAAGTTGAGGTTAGGTCATAAATTATCAATACGGTATTGATTTTACAATATTGTAGAATCAATACCGTATTGAATTTAGATGGTATTGTTTTTACAATATTACACCGGCTCGATTGAATTTAGATGGTATTGTTTTTACAATATTACACCGGCTCGTCCCTTTAATGTTATTTTTGGTCTAACTAAACACCATCTTTCAATCGTTTAAGTTGATTATTGTTATTTCTATCTTCAATATCAACAAATATTTTACCTTATAATATATATATACATTTTGCTCCTTATGGAAAATCCTCTCGTTGAGCCACATGAGTGGCCTCCAGAACTCTTAAATAGCTCACATGCTAATTTTTAACTATAAATATAAATATATTTAAAAAATCTTCCACTCTAGTGTAGTACTTTTTAATGGATATTTTTAATAAATATTTAAAATAACTTATACATTTTAAGAAAATATTAAAAATACAATACATCTAGGATTAATTTTTCTTTAATGCCGCTATTTCTATTTGTTATATAATTGAATTAAATAAATAATGCATATATTTATGAACAGCAATTATAACCTAATGTTGTAAACGCTCATTTTCAGGTGATTTTTAAAAACGGCTAACTCAATTTATCTAGAAAAATATTACGCAAACCTGATGATTTTGCTCATAGAAGGAACAACGGTATAGACGTATACTTTATTAAATCTAGAGGCTTAGGCAATATTTTTCTGGCTAAAATATTGAGTTAGCCGTTTTAAAAAATCGGCTCAAAATCAGCCATTTACAACAATATTATAACCTGGCAATCCATATATCATTATTTCTCAAGATAATAAAAATAGTAGACTAACCATGTTTAATATAATGAATTAATTTTAAAAAATAAATATTTAAATTCAATCCTTTACCAATATAGGAGGGGGTTTAGAAGATATTTAAAAAAATATATATTATTGTAATTTTATTTAAATTTTATGAATCGCGATTACTTATATGTTATGAAGCAAATTAAGTGAGAGGGAAATTTTGCCTCAAAAAGGTATTTCCATTTAATAGCTAAAATTATATATATTTTTTTATATTATTACTTTATAAAAAAGTATTAGAAAGAAAATAACACTCAATACTTAAAAATTCACAATTTAAAAAATTTTTATATTTTATTTTAAAAAATCTTGGTTAAATATTTTCCATTTTTACTTATAATTTTGTTAAATTGATAACCATTTAAAAAAATAAAAAATTGCTTCTTTAGTTCTCTTCACTTTTTATTTGAAATATTTTATTTTATTATATTAAAAACTATTAAGCCAAAATAAACCAAATATGTAATAATATATATAAATAATAAAGTTAACAAATGGAACTATATTATTTGACCGTATTTACATAAGAGTTTTTCCAACAACCAGGGGTTCATAAACATTGTTAGCTAAAATAACATATTTTTAATAATATTTATTGATTTATATATTTTATTTTATTTATTTACAAATTATAAGCCTATTTTTTTTACATAAACTAAAAAAGCATGGATTTTATTTTATAAGCACAATATTAAATAATAATTATAAAAAATTTAATATTATTATATTATGATAAATAAAAAAATATAAAAAATCTAATGTTGTAAAAATTAAATTTCAAACAAATGCAATTAATGATTTAAAATTTCCTGATGTACCCACTCTCGTCTCGGGTGGTATATTATTTTTTTATGTTATTTTTTTTTTTTTTAAAATTAATATAACATTTTTTTAAATGAATTATATGTATGATTAAGCAACTTGTGAATGAGTTTTGTCTAAATAAACATTTAATATCATCAGTTATACAATATAGTTTAGTGATCAGCATCGGGCCTAATTTTTGAAACCCGGCGCGGCGTAATTTTTTTAAAAAAGTTTCCCCGGCCAAGCCACCCAAAATACGAACCCGAAATTATTTTTGAAATTTACCGGCTTGGCTCGGCCCGAATTTATTATAAATATAGAAATTAATTTTTATAAATAATTCTAAATAAACGATATATGTTATATGGCGTCTAGTTTCTATAAATAAAATCAAATATTTTATTTTACATAAAAAATAAAAATAAAATTGATAAATTTAGATAAAAAAATTTCTCAGGCCCGAGCTCGACCAGGCCCGACCCGAATTTTCTTAAAAAATAATAGGACTGACCCATCCAGAACCCGATGTTTTTCTTGCAGATTTTTAATATACTTAGTGCAATATCATATTGATAATTCGGTAGAAAAAAATCAAAAGTTTGCCATACCGATGAAATAAGTGTCGTAGACCTTTTTTAATTATGGGATCTTTCTTTTGGCTTGAGCCTGAGTCAATTTTTGACTCAAAAATAAGCTGAGTTTAGGACTAAGCAGGCTTGGCTCAGCCGTTTAACAACGCTAACAAATAAATAAATTTCGAATCAATAGTCGGCTTGAGCTAAGTCCTGAGCCGACTCGAGCTAAATTTGACTCAAAAAGCCGGCTTGAATAAATTTTAGACTCAAAAACTAGATGAGTTTTCAGCCGTTTAACAACACTAATCTTAAATAAATTTCGGCTTCAGCTAACGGCTGAGCCAGTCAGCTCAATGAGCCAGCTTGAGCTTGAGCCAAATTTTTGGCTCAAAAACTGGCTGAGTTTTCGGCTAAGCCGGCTTGGCTCAGCCATTTAACAACACTAGTATAGGATCATCTTATTGTATAAAATAAATGAATAAAATCAACAAATAAAAAATAAATGAATAAGTATGTACCGATGACATGACTTAACGATGACATAACATAACGATGACATAACGTAACGATGACATGACGCAGCGATGACATGACGTCACGATGACGTAGTGAGGACATTGGAAAATTATAATATAGATAATTTCATTATTAAAAGGAATACCATATTTATTTGGATTGATTATCCGTGATACATGATAAAAAAATTTCGCCCTCCTGCTGTGGATATAACAGAGCAAATCCATCAAGCAAGATATTTAATATAGTGGTGGGGGGGGTGTATGAAGCCCTTCACACGTTTGTTGGCAAACCGCACTGCACGCACTTGTATGCGCAATAGTAATAGAACTATTACTTAAACATCTATTGGCTCTGATAAAAAGAATTAGGCGAAGCAAATTTCTATACCCGAGAATTGAGAATATATTTAATTACTTTATGGGGTAGGGGAAGGGCTGATTTTAAGTGAATTCTAGTACTGTTATTGTTAGTATTATGAATAAATTTAACGTCTTGTTGATCAAAATTTAAATGACATTTAATTTTTTATAAGTGGTAATTCACATATGACTTTTTTTCGATTAGATACTCCAAAAATCAAAAAAAAAATAATTCAATGCCAATCATTTTATTTTAGATTATTACTACCACCAATTATTAAAAATGGGTAGAAGACCATTGAATACAACCAAGAGTGGGAAGTATATGAATCCCACAGATCAAGCCAGTAATATCTATATTTAATTATTATAATATTTCTAATATCTAGGAAAAATGGCAAGAAAAAAGGAGCTTAAAAAGGTTACTTTTAATAATAAATTGCTTATATTGATATATAATTAAATTATTTAATAGAATAAAAAACAAAGACAGTTAATAAGGCTAGCTGTATTAAAAAGTCAGGACCCTAAACAAATAATTTATGAGATGGAAGCCTTGGATGAAATGGGTATTTTAATATATTTTAATCTGCATTATCACTATAATTTTTATAAATTAGAATATAATACAGAAAAAACTCCAATATTTAGAGAGGCTGTTCTTCAGGATAAGAGAAAGAAATTAAACACAATGTTTGCTAGAGTTGTGGCATTATATGTAATTACAATTTTTATACTATATATATACACATATAAATTAGGAAAAAGATGATCCAACATATTTTAATGAAATTAAGAGGTATTTATGTTTTAAAATAATTTATTAATAAATTAAATTTACAAAGAATAAAACGAGAATATGATATAAGAAGACAAGAAAAGATTAATTATTATGAAAGTGTTAAAAATGCAAAAAATGTTAACCTGGACAGTATTCCATTGCCTCAAAATACAGATTTACTACTAGGTGATTCATCTATAAATCCTTTGTTTTTCCAAAACAATTATATGATGACAAATGCCTTATTTATGGCAGGTTCACCTTTTTTTAATAATATTCCATTGCCTGGAATGTCTGGTTTAATGACTAATCAACAACATCCCTTTAATACTTGTAAGCTGAATATAAATATAATGGGAATTATTATATTGATTTACATGTTTATAAAGTTAACAATAGTCTAGATGGTGTGAAATTAAGTATAGAAAATCAACATCCATTAAAAGGGATTCTTAAACAACCCTCAGATTATGGGTATATATATAGTTTAATAATTTATTAATTATTATACAATTGTATTTCATAAGTGTGACAAAAGTTATTCCTGGGCCACCAATATACATGCCTCCACCACTGAGTCCAATTAGAGATGATAAGAGGGAAGATCGTAGAAACTTTGAACAGAAACATAGAAATAGGGAAAGGGCTAAAAGTTTTTCTAGATCCAGATCACACTCAAGGTCTAGTTCAGGGAGCTTAAGTAGGAAGAGAAGGAATAGGTACATATAGATTCTATATAAATATATTTTTGAAAATAATTCATAATTAATAAATTTTATTCCCCATTTATTCTTTAAGAATATTTTGAATTGAAAAATAAATTTTATTGTTTTATGCTTTTATATAGTTTTTCAGTAAATATATAAAGAATACTAGTTGGATGATATATATAAATATATGACTAGTGTTGTTAAACAGCTTGATTTTTAAAAACGACTAACCCAATATTTTAGCTAAAAAATATTATGCAAGCTTGTTTGGACACTATTAAAAAAATCTTGAGACTTGCATAATATTTTTGCCTAAAATATTAGGTTACATTTTAAAAAATTTAGCTGTTTAACAACAATATGATTAAGTAAAGATTAATAATTATTAAGGATATACCGATATTTTTTATTGGATCGGGCCGATGTTTCATATTTTTGAAAATATCGGTTATCACCCAATATTATAAAATTTTCCAATCCGATCTGATAAAATGACATTTTAATTAAAAATTTTTTTTATTTCAATTGATATTCTATTTGTATTATTAGATTAATGTTATTATTTAAATAAGTGATTTTATTTTATATACTTTTAGTTTCATGAATGAATATAAGCTATAACTGATCATTATAAATATTTAAATGACTTATGTTATGGTATCATTAATTATAGATGCTGTACTATTAAAAAGTGTATAAGATGAGTACATGTAATGAAAATCTCTTGAACCGATTTTTAAAAATGCCAAACTCAATTTTTGCCTAACCCTCGAGATTTCGCTAATAGGTGTCCAAACTTTTGTGCCATCAGAAAAATCTTCAGGCTCTCATTATATTTTTTGGATAAAATAGTGAGTTAATGTTTTTAAAATCGACTCACATGGAACCATTTTGTAACTCTAGATGTATGCATCAAAAATTAAAACAAGTATGTGTACAGAATACAAAATCCGATATGATATCGGATCGGTAATCAGTCGATATCAATTTAATATCAGCAATAAGGGATTGGCCTCCAAAAAGTGATATCGGTACATCCCTAATAATTATTTAAAAAAACAAATATAAAATTTTTTGTTTTGCAGAGTTATCTAATGTCCAGTAGAAAGTTTAAAACTAAATTTTTATAATGACTAGGATTTCCAATTTTTGATTGACTGATTACCTAATGATTCCTTTATAATATATGAGGCAAAATCTAGGAAAATTAAAGATGGTGCTATATTTGAATACAGCCAAAGGCTATTTTATTTCTTTTTATAACATTTAAATGTACAATAATCGATTTATATATCATGTAGATTGATAAAAAAATTTTTTATTAAAATATATTTATTATAAAACATTTTAAAAATACCTTTGATACAAAAATAGTGTCATTAATTTTTTTGACATATTATATACGTTAATTTTTGTAAATGTTTGTTTGACACTCAAATTAGTGAAGAAACTAAGATATTCAGTTAATAAACAATAGAAAAAAAATCGAAAGTTCTAATAATTATAAAAATTTAGTTTTAAACTTTTAACTGGACATAAGATGACCATGTATAACACAAATTTCCATTTTTGCTTTTCCTCCCATAATTTTCCATCTTTTAAATTTAATAAATTGATTTCGTTTTTGATTAATGACTGATTATATAATATCAGTGAAGGGAAATAAATCTATCACGGATTCAAATTTTTTCTTTGTTCTAACTAGCGCATTTATTTCTCATACTAATTTTTATTGGAATCGAAATAGTCGGTCAAAAAATTATTTTCGTCAATTTGATATAGAATTCACATTGACTACTATTTGTTATTTTTATTCATATCAAATTATTTAAACCTCTAAAAAGTAAATTGAATAATTTTTTTTTACTTCAATTTTACACCAAATTTATTTTATATTTTCTTGCAAAATATATAGATTATTTTTTAAATTTATTGTAAAAATGATAAGTTTCTCTTGTGCCTGATATTTATTTATTTATTTTAAATTTCTGTTACTTTTCTTAAAAAAAATTATCTTCTGGCTGACTGACCACTATAGTTTAGTAATGGCTAAATGTCTGCTAATTCGGCTTAATCTTCAGGCGCCTGTTGGAGAAAATCCGTTAACATTATGTCGTTTTAATTTATATTAGTTTCTTTCAAATTGAGTTTAGAAAAACCCCGGTCAAAGTGATAATTTTCGCCTAAAAACTTGGTTTAGACGACTAAAAATTGGCTTAAACAGCTAAAAATATAGTAATTACCCAACTATATTGGCTACTTTCTTTAAAAAAAAGACTAATTCCAATCAAAATAAATATTAAAATTATTATTTATTTGGTCATTAATTATTTTTATGCTAGATGTAATTTTTACCGTTGACAAATTATCAGGATTAAATTATTTTTATTAATTTCAAACTATTTTCATATAATAATTTTATATAAGTTAAGAATTTATGAAAAAAATTGCAATAAATATTTCTGAAATTATATTATAACTTAATTATTTTTTTTCTTTTATACTCTTTATTTTACCACAAAAAAATACTCTACTTATTTAACATAAAACCCCAATACCCCCAAAAAAATCAACCCACATTCTCTAGAATTGAATTACCCCTCTAACTTTCATAACCTGTTTAAATCATCATGTAATATTTTGAATATTGAATTTGAATAACTTAAAAATAAATAATAATTTTAAAAAAAATAATTAGCAAAAATAATATTTAATTTTAGAAAAATATAACAAATCAAAAACTCAAAACCTTTTTAAAATATAATTTCATTAAAGTTAAACACAAATATGATTGAAAACTCCAATCCTATTTAAGATTTAATCTCAAAAAATAATCTTAAAAAAATATATGAATAAATGTAAAATTTCGGTCATCTCTCATGAGATCCCCTCCCATGTAAATTCTTTCTCTATTCTACTCTTTTCCTTCATTTATAATTTAATATTATGCATACAATTAACTAATTAATATATTTAACAATCCTTCCCTAAAAAATTCTATTAAATCATATGAGATCACCCGCAGATCTAACTTATCATCCCTTGGCCCCTGTTGGGATAGTTCCGATCCGTCAACTTCTGCCGAATTATGCGTGACAATGATCGCTTTCCCTGCTCATTTTATTTGTTACTCTTTGTCCTGTTCCAATATTTACTTTCCATATTTTTTCGCCTCAATTTAAATTGGTCCTGGGTCCCATTCCCAAAGCACATTATCCCTCCTGGATATCGTTCCATTGGCCTGATTTCTTAGACCACCCTCAGTTCTGATAATACGTCATTGTTTGTTGGTTGATGGGCTCCTATCTCTACAGATACTTCTTTGCCCACCAACTGTAAGTCCCCAGTTGCAGGTTCCACAGAAATTTTACTTGTGCTGTTACCCATCAATTTCGCATTACCATTCCGTTCATAATTAAGCTAAAACTCAAAACCTATTTTAAAATATTATTTAAACACCGAAAAATATAATATACTGTTCAAGATTTAACCTTGAAAATGTAAATAATACTATCATGAGAAGTCATTTTACGTTAAATCGACCAAAAACGAAATTCCGACGTCTTTAAAAGAACGCTAGGCATGATAGTTATCTGTGTTATATTTTGTAGTAAACTCAAAATTTTAGAGAGATAGCTCAACTAGATTCAAAGATATACGCCTTCAAAGTCGAAAATTGCGCAATGTCTGATTTCATTAAATCTTTTATTTATAAAAAATACTTAAGAAAGAAAGAAAAGAAAGAAAGAAAGGATATTTTATAGCCCTTAAAATTTACATTGGAAATATGGTAAAAATTTCAAGTGCTTTCTTATTTTCGGTAAAAATAAAAAAATAACATTGTTGAGAAGCGATTTTTTTGGGTGTTGATATTCTCTAAAAAATTTTATTACCTTTATGTTAAACTATTTAATAAAATATCTCGATAGCTGTTCTTATTAATAGAAATTCCTGATGCCATTGTAGATATATCCTGTTGCTGTTGTGGATTTATTATCGTTATTTGATATCACTTGTGGGGGTAAAAGAAGGATGTGGTGGTCCTTGGGAAAAAAAGAAATATACATCTCCTCAACAATTTCATTTTTTTAATAATGTGGTTAACCACCAAATTGTCATAAATATTTAGAAAAAAGACCTGCCCAAACCATGGTCCTAAATAAAAGACTCAGGTGGTTAGCCACAAAATTGAAATATATATATATTTATTTTTTACATTCCTATGGACCATCATCATACTTCTTTTACCCACAATAAAGAAAAGAGATGGTTGTCCATTAATCGAATACATTGTTGTTCAGATTTAATAGAAAACATTTCCGTATTTTTTAATTTGTTTGTAAATAAAATTATTTAACTTGTAAAAATTGACAAGAATATATAAATGTTATTGTAACAATTTTTTGCAACTCAAATAACTTTATTTGCAAATAAATTAAATCATAAGGAAATGTTTTCCATCCAATTTGCACAATACTGTAATGATAGTATATCCCATAACAGTGACAAAGCGCATCAAATTATCGCTTCAGGAAATTCTATCAGGCGCAAAATGGGATAAGATTAAAACAAGTGGTATTTTTTTATAATAGTTATAAAATTATAAAATATAGCGTCTTAATAATCATATTCGTATCTGCTTGCTTACATATTGCCTCGGGACATTATATTGTTTATACTCAATCCATTTTTTAATAACAATACAAATTTTTATTGAATATATATTATAATAATTTTCAAATATAACGCCATCTATACTATCTTTTTTATTTGTAAAAATACGAAAATAAGTGTCCTAGTATGTTATGCATTAAAAGCATGTATTCACATTTAATTTTGTTAAACGTCAATCAGATGTATTTGGAATTATTATTATTATATGAAAAGGAAAAAATGATGATTATATAATATATATTTTTCGATATATTTGGATCATTAAAGTTTTGAAATTTTTTAAAAAGATTCTTTTATAAATTAATAAATTACGGAAAAAATATGATAATTTTTTACTATATTATGATTATTGGATGTTTCAATTTTTGATGATTTATAAAGTTAATAAAAACTTGATTTGAAGTGTATATTCTTTCTACAATCTATATTACGAACTTTTAAATATTCTTTTTTACAATCTATATATTACGATACTTTTAAAATAAGCATCGAGATTTTTTATTGAAATAGTTTAATATAAAGGTAATAAGCATTTTTAGAGAATATCAACACCCCAAAAAATCTCTTCCTAACAATGTTAATTTTTTCTTTTTACCGGAGAAAACACTCGGAATTTTTTAATTTTTTTTTGATATTTTCCATTGTAATATTTTAAGGGCTATAAAATGATATATAATTTGTTACTCTATCTTAAATATTTTTTAAAAAAACAAAATTTAATGAAATCACGCATTACGCGATTTTCGACTTTGAAGGCGTATATCTTTGGATCTGGTTGAGCTATGCTCTAAAATTTTGATCATATTAACATTTACGACATTAATAACTATCATGCCAAGTTCATTCATTTTTTTAAATGGTAGTCCGAATCACTGGTCAATTTGTCATAAAATTACAGTAGAATAATTTTGTTTTTTAACGAACTGAACCTTGAACCGTTATTTTTATTTGAGCCGATATTTCCCTTGTTTAAACCATGCAGTAGAGTATTATTGGCATGAAAAAATAAAGGCATTTGTGCATTCATCTATATAGAATAAACATCTAATATTCGTTAAATAATCGTAAATACAACTACACAAAACCTTAGACTTATTATGCCTAATATATAAGTGACTAATTTTAAGTCATAGGAATAAAGAGATTATAAGACCAAATATTTATATTAGGGATATAATAATAGAAATTATTGGATACGCATGAATTCTATAATTTAGCTGATTTTTCATATGGATCTGACACCAATTTCTACTTACATATTTGCCCTCTACCAATTATTTTTCCTCAGACTTTTTATCCTTAAATTATTATTTTAAGAAGTCTCTTATAAATAATTTCCTAATTAAGAGAGAAGGAAAAGGGAAGAAGAAAGAGGGATAGGAGATCACGCTCTCCAAGGAGTCATAGTAGATCTGACAGATCTAGAAGTCCAAGCTCTGACGATTCCGACAAGCAGAATAACAAAAATACGGTCATAAGGGGTATGCTTTTAAACTAGTTAATTATTTCTAGACCTGCCACCCATTTACAAGGTTGGCATGAGTTTCTAAAATTCATCATTTTACTGCTTAGCATGGATAGCTCAGGATTATCATATGCATCCATTTCACTGCCAAGCCCAGGTCTCTAAAGAGTGATTTAAAGGTATTGGCCATCGCATGATTTTTTAAATTTAGGATAATTAAATTAATATGTTATATAGGCTAGCCATACCAAAGCGTTCTAGTGTGTATGTTAAGATAACAAGCCAAAAGAATTGAGCTAAAAAAATATCGTTTCCAAAAATTTTAATATTTTTATAGCCTTTTACATATAAAATTTTTTATCATTTGCTTACTAATGTTGTAATAATTCCCATATTTTAAAATAATATATATTCCTAAAACTACTTATACTTTTTATTTTTTTAATATAATATACATTTATTAAAAATTTCTTATAATATATAAAACACTATAATTTTAAATTACTATTAAGATACTATTGAAATAAAATACAATTTCATAATTGCGTTTCCAGAAAGGAACTACAGGAAACCACATACGAAGATGATGCACCCTGTAGCAACCAGGGACACCGCATCGAGTTGCTCAAAAATGAATTAAGACTCGAGAAGGGCGAAGATAGGTGGCACAGCTTAAAATGACGCAAATTATGTTGCTCACAATTCCATGTACGAATAGATGAGAGCTCGATGACATCCTCAAAGCAGGATGGACAAGGACGATTATATGGAGGTAGGGGTAGAGCCACAAGAATATAAGGATTTGTTCATGTAGTAATATCACCGATATGACCTTCTCACTGGGGCCTTCCGGACTTATGTAGGGGTGGAGATGTCTTGAGTCATCAGGAATTGGAAGTAAAGTTTATTTTTAAATTATACTTGTCACTATGTGCGTAATGGAAATATTTCATTTTTATTATATTATTGTAATGTCAAACTATAACACACTTTTAATAATTAAAATAGTTATTATGCCACAGCATAACAACTATCTCCACAACTTCGCTATTTTTTTCACTACTACTTTCAATCACTACGGTGCAACACAATATTTAAGCAAACATTATAAAAAAAAATTTACTTGCTTGGTCATGGCACCACACTATCGGTTGTCCGTTTTAAATAAATGATGCAAACGCATTTTATTGATAACATTTTATAGTTAGACATATAGATAGTCAATTTTTTTTAAAGTTAAATTAATAATATAATTACAATCTTCTCCCCCTAGGAGGCTATAATTATAAAAAAATAATTAAGATAATATATTAAAAATAGATATTTTAAAAGTTAAAAAAATGAGAATCACATCGATACTGCTACAAGAAGAAAATAAAATATTTCCATTATATGACAAGTATAATTTAAAAATAAACTTACCTTCCAATTGTACAATCCCATGATAACTCAGGACAGGAACCATAGTTGTATCTAAAAATTCCGATTAGTATTTTTGGTTTTCGTTCTAAATCGCTAAAACAAAAATCGCTAAAAATTGGGAATCTGGCTTATATCTCCTAGAAAATTTTTAAAGTAAATTTGAAATTAATATTAATAGATACTAGGGGACTAAAGACTTGTATTTAAATTGAAAATTTTATAAAAATCGCTAAAATGGAAGAAATATCATCCAAATTCCCTAGCGATTTAGAACCTATCTTGTATTTTTTTACAAAAAAAATTGGCTTTGTTTGTAAAATGCCGAATTGGTATCAAGATTTTTTAAAAACTTATAGGTTAATAGAGAAAAATGGCCATTTGTGGCAGACACTTGGAACAAATAGGAAGTTGTTAAAAATTTTGTATGTTCATTTTTGTTTTCTTCTTGTGTTAGCCGAATGACATTGATGTTTGAGGGGTCAAGGGCCTAAGATAATAGTAGTTATACCTTCAGGTCTTAAGCCATCTACGTGCGATAAATATATTGGCTCAAGATAGTTCAGAATGTGGGCGGCTGTTAAACCTCGATTTATCATGGTTTACTATGTGGTGCTAGTGCCGCCCTTGATTCAAAGGGTAGACCCTGCCTACCCTTTGTATCAACTACTGATTTGCATTACAAACATATGGCTGCACGATGTCACACTAGACATAAATCAATGGCAACTCAATTATTCGCCTGATAAAAGATTACCAAGACTACGACTAAGAATTGATTCTAACCATTCATGACAGCCACGTATGTCATCTAATTGAAGGAGTTGAATGCAATCCAAAGTTGGATTGACTGATATAATATATCAGTTTGGTATTTCAATATTAATGTAAACTTAATTTTTTTTTAAATTATTACCATACTCACACTTTAGAATGCTCCAGTATGGCCTCTACCTTTATATGAGCAGTAAAATCAAAATTACGAGTTTTAAAATAATTATCTTTTTTAGTCTTGCCAGGCCCTAGAAAATTTTAAATTTGTCTTACTTTCATCAATTAATTTAGCGCGAATTATTCTTAAAGTAAGATTCAATCAATAAAGTTTGGAATCGGATGGGTCCTTTTCAGACCTAATAAATAAACATAATATAGGTGGTATTTATCAAAATTATATATGTATATTATGAAACTTTATTTTTTAGATTCGGATGAAGAGGAATATGAAGAGATAATAGCTGAAGATAAATCATATGAACCTGAAGGTTTTTAAGAAGAAAAAAATCGCTTATAGCCTATATTATAAATGATTTGTTTTGGGTTTTAGATCCTTAAGATAAAAAATTATCATATAATATAATATTTTGGGTGTTTAAAAAAAAATATATCATTTTATTTAAAAAAAAATTATGAATAAAGTTATGGATAGCAAGGGGAAAAAGATGATTAGGTTTATAGATGGGTCAGCAGACCGTAATGGAGATGAAGAAAAGGATTCTAGGTCAAAATATAAAATGATAGCAAAAAATATGGTATTCATGCAACTTTTTATTTATTTATTTTTTTAGGTTGGACCTATTTTTCAATCATTTTTTTTATTTATTATTTTATGTCCCCTTATTTTACCTTTATATCCTAAATTTTAGGGTAGCAAAACATTTTATTAATTCATATTGCACATGCATAGATTTTAATAAGTCCCAAAAACCTTGGAAATTTAAAATTATGTATACGACATATTTATATTAGTATTAATATATTGTATTCTTAAATTTTGAATATTATTATATTTGATTACGTTTAAACCTGATTACTCTTAATGTGCTAAAATACAACCGCCCAAAGTTGTTTTTCATTTTTCAAAAACATTTACGCGTTAAGTTTTTATGAGTAATTTTTTACTGAGTTAAATTTCTTCTTATGCATACTTTATCTCATTAAATTGGGTAGTTTATTATTGAAAATATTGATTATAAGGTAGATTTCGAAAGAAACACTGGAGCAGGGGCTACTCCTTAATTAGAAATACACTTCGACCAGTGCTCTGACAACAGTCCTATCAATAGCAGCGTTTCTGTTTTTTTATCGATTACATTTCAAAGTGAACCTGACTATAAAAGATTCCTTAATCCGATTGTAGCAGGATTCTAGCTAAAAAGTTTGGGAAGATCCTATGCTCTTATTTTCAAAAAAAAAACTAACACATCAATTATCTCTATGGTTTGAGGCTAAAAAATTAATATTCCTTTTCTGGTTTAGTTAATGATGAATGATTGGTAGTCGATATCTTAAGATAACCTGTTTTGAAATCGTCTCGGCAGTTTTGTGATCTGTTAGATTGTTCATGTAGAGTAACCGAGATGCAGCGTGTTAGTAGAATTTTTTTTAAAATATTTATTGAATATTTATCAATTGAAAACGACATTCCAAAAGTTCTTAATACCTAAGTGTAAAAAATAAACAAAGATAAATATATAAAAATTCGTTATCGGAACTTTATGATTAAATTTATAACGCCTATTTTTAAGGGCTACTATTGCAGTACTATCATTTTTTGTCATTTCTTTCTGAAATAATATAAATAAGCTTATTATACATTCATTTTGAGCGTATAAAAATTCAATTTGAAGGTTTTAGGAATTTGAAAGTTCCCAATCAGATTTAAATAATTTAAGATCCTATTTCTCCCTACTTAACAGATATTTATATTTTTTTAGTGCCACCTACCATTTCTAGCATCATTAAAATACTATGCCAACATGTAGTTCAATATGTCTTTTATGACAAACTATTTCATGTTTTCTTGCAAATCACTTGTTTTAAACAAATCATATAGTAGGTCTAGAATTGGAGTGCTCCACTCGACATTTTCATTGAGTTAGAAGTAAATAAAACTTATTTATTCCCAATATATATTAAAAATAAAAACTAGATTAAAAAATATTAATTTTTGCCAAAGTTATAGCTCTGACAAAATTGATAAAATAGCTTTTCCATGTTTAGCAACTAATATTTAAATAAATAATATCGCAATTTTTAATAAGTTAAAAATATCTTTAAAAATACTTTTTATATTATTTTTCTTCTATAAATAACTATAATTCACAGATAAAAAATATTTTAATAAATTCAGTGGCGCCGTGAGCACCGACACTTCTTTGACGGTGGCGTCAGCTTGGTTAAAGAGTATCGGCGGCGCGCAAGGCTAATTATACTAAATTTATTCATGAAAAATTAGTCATAAATTATTGCCGGAAATTAGATTTTATACATGTACCTAATGATCTTATGGCTTTTACAGGAAATACATTCGATTTACTTATTTGACTTAATTTTATTTAACCTTAGAAATTATTTTAGTTTATCCGAGAAAAAGTGATTGACTCACCTATTATTTGGACGGGTAGTATATTTTTTTTTACTAGAAATCAGGTTTAGACGTCGCCTTAAGAAATATTTTTCTAAATTGATTTTATCGTTTTACTATTGTATATTTTTTTTTACAAATTCAAAAAATTTAGATAAACAATACACCTCCCTCTAAAAACGAAAATCCTATGTATAACATAACAAATAATCCAATGGCATACAACATGTATTCTCAAATGAATTTCCCGCCATACATACCTAATATGTACATAAATATTTCATATAAATTTTCTTAGGGTACTAACTAGAGATTTGCAAAAGTACCGGTCCTTTAAAAATTCGGGTTCGGGCTGGATCGGGCCTAATATTTTTAAAAAAATTTCTGGCCGGGTCGGGTCATGGAATATTTTATATCTAAATTTATCAATTTTATGTTGAATCATATTATATCAAAAAAAGGCGCCAATATTTTTTATAAAATAAAAATATTTAATTTTATTTGTAGAAACTAGACGCTATATGACATATTATCTTCTATTTAATTTTTATTTAAAAATAATAAATTTCAATATTTAAATAAATTCGGGTCGAGCTTGAAAAATTAAGCCCGATGCAGAGTTCTAACTCCACTTTTGATTTCCTTGACCCGATCCCATCTCCTCTAAAATTGATCATGAGTCGGCACATAGAGATGGAATGGTTAAGGGTCATAAAAAATATTTCTTAAATTTATTTTGGAAGAGTATGACTTTTTTTGAACATTTAAAATTTCACTTAAATTTATTAGAACTAATTATATTATATAAATAAAATTCCTTTAAAATTACAAAATATTTAATGTATCATAGGCTGATTTATATATATCATATATTTCTAAAAAAATCGAACGCGTTCATGTTCATTCAAAACTTTGGGAATAATTTTTTTAACACAATATATTAGCCATGTTTAAAATTATAGGTTTTAAGTGAATAAAAATTATTTTAATTTATTAAAAAAAAATACTTATTAATTTTTTTAAAAACTTTTATATATCATGTGAAATTTAATTATTTATAAAATATATAAATTCATAATGTTTAGATCAGGGTTGGCAAGTCGGCCAATTGATCGGTTAAATTCAGTCTATTAACTGGTCATATGTTCCAGTAATCTAAAAATTTTAAGAAAGAAAATGTTTGAAATTTGGTAGATGATTTACGAATTTTTTTAATATTAAAAATATTTGATGCTTTTTTATACGGGAATTTAACTCCCCACCCCTTTCCTCGACTACACATAGAGTTAGAATCTCATAGGAATCAAGCGATAAACTTTTTAAGTCACATAATATCATTTTTCAAGCATATTGTCTTGTCTAATCAGAATTGAAAAACGCTATGTGACTAAAGCGATATATTGCATAAAACAAATTTATATAAGTTTTTTTGAAAAAAGAGAGAAATGAGCCATCCTAACACTTCTAATTACGATATTATTTATTTAACCCATTAATGGTCAAGATTTTTCTAGTGGATAAAAATGCTCAATTTTTTCAAATTATATTGATTAATGCTCAAATATGATATTCTAAAAAAATCAGCCAAAAAAAATAATCCTAAATAGAAAATTTAGCCTGGTGCATATATGCACCGTTAACCATTAAGAGGTTAAAAAAGATAAAAATTATATAAAATACTATAAGATCAAAAAAACAACAAATATCTTTATTCTTTTTTTGTAATTTATAATAAAAACGAGAAAATGTTTATATATTATGAAAATCCTTGAAACATTTAATATGGAGTGCGATTTGACATGTTTGGCACATATATCTTGAGTGCGTATGGCAATGTCTGCATCTTCGTCTTTTTCCATCTATAATTTTGGATAAATAATGTCCAGATGAATCAATAGGGTTTTCACACTGTAATGCAAACTGGCTGGCGTGACCTGTACTTGAATTTTTTTCAATTTTTACTGGCGTTCGAAGGAGGTAGTTAGTAACTTCTCGTCTAAATGCAAGCAAACTCTTCTTGTCATCTCGATTCACGAATTTCCAGATTTTCCATGAATTTACCAAAGCTACATCAATAAAATTGGTGAATATTGGCCACCACCATTTTTTTCCTCTTATTTTTATTCTATATGTAGATATTAGATTATCACATAGATCAACTCCACCCATGTGTTTGTTATAAGCAGTTACCATATTTGGCTGAGGAATTTTTATTTTAGAAGATATTTTCTTAGAATACCTTGAAACATTAGAAAGCAAAGAGATAGTGTGGCATGTCGATGCAACGGTCACCACCGAATTATCATTCCAACGAACTACAAATATTTCGTTTAATTTTTTAAACCTATAATCATAATATCCTCTTTCTTTTTTTGCTACAACCTTTATAGATTCAACTGGGCAATGCTCTATTCTATTGTCCCTCACAGTTCCAGTTGCAAAATATCCCATTTGTTTTAAGTATGACAAGAGTTTAAATGATGTAAAGAAATTATCAAAATATATTTTATGATAATTTGGTTTTTGCAATGCCTTTAATAATTTTATGATTACATTTCCACCTAATCCATATTCATATTTATTTTCGCTTTTTCCTTGATATATATCAAATGAGAATACGTAACCGTCGGAAGAGGCCAATATCCAAGACTTGTATCCGAATCTAATTGGTTTTCCTTTTATGAACATTTTGCAAGAATGTCTTCCTCGATATGGTATCATCTGTTCATCTATTGATAAATGATGTTTTAAAATTCCGAATTGCTGAAATTTATTATTCAATATATTAATGTAAGGCCTAACTTTATAAAATCTATCATGTATATCTATTTTAGTATTGTCTGCCAAATGGATATTATATTTCAAATTTCGAAATTGTAATTGGGTCATTGTATCCCGGATTATTGGAATAGAAATATCGCTGTCATTAGACCAGTACATTCTTTCTTGTGGGAGAGAATGATATCCAGTAAATAATAGAATTCCAATAAATCTCTGAATATCTTGGATGGTTATGCATATGTTAGGTCTATTCATTTGTTTAGCATAAATATTACTTTGTTCTACAATTAGGGAATATAAGTCTTCGTCGAAAATTAAACAAAATATATCTGATGGACTTTTACCATGTAAATCATTTTCAAGTTTTATTACATCTTCCTTTTCTCCATTGAAAGGGCTTGAAGAATATATTGCATCCGTTTTTCTCCATTTTAAATTGTGAGAAATTCGAGAATAGCTTCTTGTAGAATATGGTTCTGGAAGGTCGTCATCAACTGAATTATGAATCTCCAATTCTCCAGCTGTATCTGAAGGCAAAACTCCGACATTTGTTAAGTCATTTTCATCGAAATCTTCTTCATCACTAACTGCAGAGGGGTTTGGCGGAATTATAACCATATCTCTTTCTTCAATTGGTTCCTCTTCAAAAAGTTGAGCAAGCGCTTGTTCAATTGTTAGAAAACGTTTCATTAAAAAAATTTATTAAAAATTAAATATCTAGACAAATTATTTTCGTAGAATCTTGATTTTTTTATTAGTCATCTATTATTTTGATAATTTTGATTGAATTGACAAAACAGGTACATAATATTTTATATAAATAAAATAAAATCTTCAGAAAGGAAGAGGCTAAAAATAATTTTAAACTTTTGAATATTTATGAACCTAATAATTTCATATAATTTGATCGGGATAAAAAATTATAATAGGAACAATATATTATTCGATTTAATCTCAGGGGAAAAAAATTTTTTTAAATTATTTTCAAAAGGTCTTTTTTGGGTATAAAATTTTTTTTAAAAATTCTTAAGGGGCTCGAGCCACCCACCCCTCCCCTTCCCACCCTTAGTGACGGTAGTGGTTTTAAGTATAATATAAAAAATTATAATTCATTATGTTAAATTTCATTTGTTTGAATTTTTTTAAATAATATATACTGCTAGATGGTTAACGGTGCATATATGCACCAGTCAACTTTATGTGGTTACCTACTAAAATATTAATTATTTAAAAATTCAAAAATGATTGATAAATATTGATATATCTATAAAGAATATATACACACTAGTTTTCATCGAAATAATTTTATAATATGCTCGTGAGATCGCTTAGAAAATTTTGCATTTTAGACCTCATAAATTCGCAAAGTTTGAGGGTTTCTTAGGGGCATAAAAAAATATTTTTTTCATATTTTTCTTTTCCAGTTTTGAAGTACAATGTCTGCTATATAAAAATCTTTTTTATTATTTTTAAAAATGCACCGTTAACCAGTAACGGGTTAAGGAGCTCGTTGAGTGGAATTCGAAACATAGTTTTATTCATGTATCAATCTAAATATTTATATTTCAAAAAAATTAAAAAACCAGAATGATACCTCCTTCGATGATGCAAATGTCTAATCCTTACAGACCTCCCATTAGTAAATTATCGATAATTTTTTAATGCATATTGTATCATGAGTTTTGGGGTTTTATTATTTTTAAAACTTTAATAACTTATTTCACACGACGGGTTAAGGCATTAGCCCTGCAGCTTAATATCATCAAAAATAACGACAGCAACCTTCATGAATAGTTGTATTAAACTGCACATTTTTTTATAAACATAATCATATTCACCTTTTAAATATTTATTCTTGTAAGTTATATATTTCGAAATATACTAAATTGCCCAGAAAATGAAATTCCTACACAATTTAAATACGGTTTAATTGTTATGGTGCCAATTAATTTTATAAATCTTATTTTTGTGCTATAATACGATTATTTCTTCGCCTAAACATACAATTCAGACGAGCCTTTAGCTGCTCCTCCCCCTCCGCCATCCCTTAGTACGGGTGTTTATCTGCCAGACGATGACGTTCCACCATTACCCCCTATGCCCAAAGGGCTTGCAAACTTGACCGCTTCCATAGGTTCGGCCCAGATAGTTGGACTACCCAAGATATCCATGGACCACAAAGGTTCAAATTTCGGAAACGTTAATAACGAAAAAGGTGTTAAAAGCATTGGGGAAAGAAGTACCGCAGATGGGGTTTCCGCAAAGAATACAGAAGCCATCGTTATAGAGGTAAAAAAAATCATAAATTCCATATATAAATTTGTGCAAGATGTTGTCGCTCACTAAAGTTTGTTGTAAGACAGTCAGGATAAATTGGTGGCAATAAATCATACTAGGATGTACCGCTAATTTTTTTTATTAAGAATCTGTTCTTAACGATATCGTTAATTATTTATGATAATCGGATGCTAAAAAATATTAATATGGTAATTATTCCTTCCTACCTTAGTTGTTTTTTAAATCGGCTATATCAATATTTTAGCCAGATAAATATTACTTATATATCAAAATTTGCCCAAAAAAGGACCAAACCTTTCTGTCATCTTTTGGGAGGCTTAGGTATTGTTGGCTAAAATCATGATTTAAATGTTTTATAAAAAATTGGCTAATTCGAGATTTCTAACATAGCGACCTTTTATTAGAAAAATTTATCAGCATCGGTCAATATCGATAGCTACCTATACCTTTAATTTTAACCGATAGGAGCAGTTGCCCATAAGAATGATAATTAACCTTTGTAAATAATATTTCAACTTACATCATTAAAATATTATTTGCAGATTTCTAAACCAACAAGAAAGATAGAATTTTTTCCTATTAATTTTTGATAATATACTAGTATAATTTTCACCCCCCCCCAATAAATACTACATACAATAATAAAATTTTTATCTCTGTATGGATATCGATATCAGCTGAAGCAGTATTGGTGATCTCTGGTATAATTAGCATATTTTTCGTATTCTATACCATGACATTTTTCTAATGTTATTATATTGGGTCAGCTAATATCATATAAGGCTATTCCGATCCACAAATTTTTCGATCCGATATTGATAAATCGATCCGTTATCAATCCGATATTTATATTGATTTTTTATCTTTATATCAATGTCATAAATATATCAATATTTTCTACTTTAAAATAAACCAACTAACTTTCATAAATAAGTGTGTGAATGCAGTGTTGTTAAACACCTCCATTTAGTCGATTTTTAAAAAGGGCCAAATCAAAATTTTAACCAAAATATTATTGCCTATGCCTCAGTATTTCACTAATAGAAGTCCAAACATTTCTGATATATGTGGGAAAAGTCAATAAGCATGTACTCTTGGCTAAAATTTTGAGTTAATCGTTTTTAAAATTGACTAAATAGAACCGTTTAGCAACACTTGAATGTGACACGTTAGATGTTTTAAAATCCTTTTCTTTTTGCAGATAGTATAACAAAAAATAGTGTAAAATTTTAAACTGTTTTTTTAAACATTACAACAAATAAATTGTATATTAGTTTCTTTCAGTAATTTATTATGAATAAATAAATGATGTTATATTTACAAATATAAAATAACCAAAAACAATAAAAAATATTGGCTCGGATTTTTTAAAAGATCAGCCCGTTAAGATATTTCTTGAAAACGCTGTACAGCCTTATATCATGCCAATACAATCTTTGCAATACATATTTTTTATCTTATTAATAAAGGCTTACTACATAACGATGAACCCGAGGTTATACTTTGCCTTGGATTAGCCAGACATTGTTTAAGCCAAGGTGTGAACCTATTTTTTTTAACACACTAATACTTATAGTATTCACGATATATTTTTTAAACATTTATCTTTAAAACTATACAAGGCCAAACCCCAACTCCGGAGTTTAACAGAAGAATCGTTAAAATTTTTGCCGACATCCTTGCGGATTAAAAGAAACACTTCTACCAAATCCCAAAATATGAACAAAAATCAATCTGCAAATGCATTAGGCGCCAAATCCGCATCTCGCTTGAAATCCAGTTTATATAATTTTATGCTTTATTTTAAATATCGAGATTTCAATATAAACGAAATCATAATGATATTTATACAAGATTACCAGCTTTTGTTATTTAAAATGTTAGTGAATTATACAGCTATTTTTATTTAAATATTAATCTTAAATGAGTCAACTTTCGACCATAACGTTTTTAAACATAATGAACTCTAGTCTCTTCTTAAAGCCTAATCGTTGTTCAAAATTATCTATAATGATCGTATAGCGAATTCTAGGATATTATTAAGCCATGGTTACCGCTTCTGCTCTAAGACTATATAATTAGTGCTTAAGCCTATTATAAAAAAATTATTAACAATTCCTATTTAAAAATTCGAGGTTGGACATATACCATTTTTTTATAATAATTTTTTCATATTATATTAGCAAATTATTTTAATTTAAAAATTTTGTTTTTCATTTTTTGAATAGATGAAAGGAACCAATTTTTAGAAATGGTCAACGTCCATTATAAGAGTGATAATAGCAATATGACGGCTGCCATGATGAATTTACAAAGCAAAGATGATGCCTACAGCGCTTTTATGAAGGAAATGGAAGATTTAATATAAATTAAACGAATCAATGTCATAGTTTTTTATTTTACATTATTTATCTTTGGTCTGACTTATTTTGTATATTTATAACATTACTAAATCTTCTGTTAAATAAAATGAGTCATTTAATGTTAATTTTATTGATAAGGTAAAATTATTTAGATATTTAAAATGATATTATATTTGTTGTAATATGTAAATTAGTTAAATTTGTACTTTATATTTAATTTGCATAAAGAATTATTTTGGATTTATTATTATAACGCGTGATAAAAATATTATATTTGAATAGTTATGAATATTAGTGATAAAGAAGATTGAAAAAAGTATAAAAAGGCCAATTTTTACCATACAGAAATATCTTTGATAATTATTAACTTTTTTGTATTTTATTTTTTATTAATCTTTTTTATTATTTTTACTTTATAATTTTGTTAATTTGATAATGTTATGATTTTGAATAAAGGATGAAATTGATTTCATGATTTCGTGTTTCCTAATTATTATTAATTTCTTTTTATATATATGTTTTCTTTTTTTATTTTTAGGTCTCAAAAGCCTTACTTTCAACATCCTAATTATTATTAATTTCTTTTTTATATATATATTTCTTTTTATATTTAGGTTTTGATGCACAATGACAAATACCTCATTGTGACAATATTAATTAAAATTACACTATTTTATGGATAACATCATGTACTGTAATTTATTAAAATACATATCGTGGGACTTTGACTGTATGGTAATCATTGATATACCTAGTTCTTAGACAAATAAGTATAATACCACCACTATTATATTTATATAGTATAATTTTTGAATATTCAATATATTTTCCCTAGAAAGAAAGATATGAAAATGATTTAATTATAAGCTCGATTTTTAGCAAAATTACTAACTTGAAAGACACATTTAATTTTTCACATTTTCTTATATAATGTTAAAATAAAATAAATTTTTTCCAAATAATTTTAATTTATTATTCAAAGATTTTTCACATGGGTTATTTTTGGCTTTCCTATAAATTAATTATTAATGTTACTTGAGTGAACCCAGTGTCATACTCCATGATGGGGTTTGACATATTGGTATTAGTTAAACCATCTTTGTTACTTTTTTCCACGGCATATTCGAGATCTGCACTGGACTGCAAAGTGTCTGATTCTATGGAAAATGTTACAAGGGCATATTGAGGCCAGGTAACTCTTTATGTGGACGTCATGGTTTGAATATCTATTTTTCATGAAATCTTTTCCATTTTGTTATGTCATACTTTAAGACCATGATTCTAATAGAAGTGTTACTTATGCATTTGCACCCAGGGCCAGTGCAAGGCGCATCTTATCAATCGTCAATTGGACATTCTTAAAATTTTTATCCTACGATGTTTGGGGCTCATCTAAAAAAATTAATTAATTCCACTTAAAAATCGATCCCGCCCGTCTATGGTAGCTTCATCAAAATTTTGAGACCCAGACAAAGTTTTAATGCATTGGCCAAACTGGAGAACAGGCTAATGTTTCCGGCTGGCCAAATTTTATCAAATAACAAAAATTGATATTTTTTAAGTAAGCTTAATAAAACGTCTATTTGATGATATCTCATGAAGCTGCTATAAACTTAATTGGAATAATCTTCCCTCTTTATTTCAACCACATTCTCTAACCTTATGTAAGTCAGCAATATTGTTGTGTCTCGTTATTTGGTTGACACAATTCCATTTAAGTCCATCAGTAGGACAAAATGTTAAAAATGGTCTTCAGTATCCATTTTGGCGTCATATGGACTTGGACATAGTAATTTTGATCATATAAATCATAGGCATATCTCAGATTTTCATGGGAGAATACTTTTGGGTACATTTTTTCGTTATAAATAATTTTGGGTTGTCATTTTTTATAAAACGTTTTTTCAAAAATATTTATTAGTAATTATTTTAAAAAAATTATCAACTTGTACTTATTTTAAGAAAAAAAAAACAGGATTTATCGTGATATATGTATATTTTGAGGACGAGGGGAGTGTTGTGGGAAATTTATTGCCAAATTTGGTTTCGCCAATGAAACAAATATTGAGTTGTAATATTTCAATACCTTCCACATTCAAAATTCAATTAATTAAAGAAAATATTTCTGAATACAATAATTACCTTCTATAACATTGGAAAAAATATTTTCATTCGCGGATTTTGTAAATACACGTGACTGACAGACGGTGTTTGCATTCAACGCTTTTTAAAAAATTATTCAACAATATTATAGCAAACTTCAGATCTTTTCAAATTTTTGTGTATTTAGCAACGAAGAAAAATGTAAAATTTTAGATTTCTCATTCAGGGTCAGAGATATGGGCGCTCAAAGCACAAAATTTTATTAAATGCATATTTATAAATATATTGCTTAATAATATATCTTTTATATTATATAAAAATTAAATCATGAAAAAAATATTAAGGGCAAATACAGGAAGTTAAAAACCGATGAGTATAATATGAAATGGCACCTTTTTTTTCTTTGATGGCACAAATATATTTTAAAAATTAGGCTTTATCACGTAAAGGGCCAAAAAAGACCCAACTTCACTCTTATAGAATATTATCAATGTCAAAAATTGATAAACTGCACTCGGACCGGCTCGGGGGGACAAGAATATCATTTTTTTTAAAGAATAAGACTTGACAAATGAGTAAGGATATAAAACAAATTAAATTATGTTTTATTTATTTTATTTTTACTAATACATCTAAAATCTCATATAACAAAATAAAAAATATTATATAATACTAAATTTTCATGACAAATTTGATAAATTTATAGGTGTTTATTATTATTTATTTGATATAAATAAAATAATATCTTAATAGCTTTCTTGTCATTAAGAAAAAAAAGATAATATTAATTATATATTTTACATGTATTAACAATTCTTTAATCAATTAATTTGTACTTTCTTCACATTATAAAATTTTCATTGTTTTTTAAGACAACTCTTTTCATAGCTAGTAAATCCAATGCATGACAAAAGCATATTTCATGACAATTGTTACTTTATCAATGTATAGTACCTTTTAATATTTTTTAAAACAAATTGTTTTAAACTTAAAAAAAATTAAATAAAAAAGTTAAAACTAAAAACCATAAATGATGCAACGAAAAAAAATAACTTAAAATACAATTTCAGCAATACCAGGGGCATGAAACGAAATATTCCTGAAACGTTACAGGAACGAAACTTAAAGAAAATCATAAAAGGAGGATTTCGGGAACGTTCCTGGAACATTTCGGGAACGTTTCGAAAACTTAATTTATAATAGAGTGTTTCTCAAATTCCTAAATATTCCTTTCTTCTCTGACTCCATTTTGATTTATAAACTTACAAATTATTTATCGTAATAAAAAATATTATTTTAAAAATTAAATTTAAAATAATTTCAACTTTTTTTGTTATAAAATTGATATCATATTATAATGTAAATTTCAATGGATAATCTTGTTTTAAGTTAGTGTTGAAGAGTGTTTTCCAAAGATCAAATTTTATTTAACACCATCGCATCCATATAAATGATAATCTTTAGAGAATGTTCTTTTATGGATACTTAGATAAGATCAATGAATAAAATTAGTATGTTAATAAAATAGAAATAAAAGTAGATATTTTTTCAGGAATGCGTTCCGGAACGTTCAGAAATATAGAACGTAACTTCTTTTTTTGGCAGGGAAGGAACAGAAAAAGCAAAAAATGCATTCGCTCAGGGTCCCTTATAAAAGTTTTAATCTAATGTAGAACCGTAGTAATACAAATAACAAAATAAACTTGCGTGAGTGGATTGTACGTAAAGTCAAGGCGATAAGATGATCTCTTAATAATATTTTCGGCAGAATCAAATTGAACTAATTTAGGTTTGCGCGGAATTCCCATCAAGGTTACGTTCGATATGAGCAAAGATGACTCTTCGTTGGGCACAGGGAGATAATCAAATTTCAATATCCAGGATCGAAGGGTTTGATTACGTGCCTTGAAGTGTAGCATGTCGTAAGGACCCAAGGAAGACGGAGAAACGGTATGATCTAAAGATAATTTTGATATTGGATTTAATATTTTTAAATCTCCAATTCTTAAAAATCTTAGCTGGAAAAAAATACAAATCCTGTTTTAAAAATGTTTCTTTATAAAATCCGAACCTGTGCGTTTTAATGGCAAAATTTTCAAAAACCAGGTCTCGACGTGTTTAAAATTTAAAAATACTCGGGCTAAGTCAGGTACAAGCTTTTTCTAAAGAAAAAATCCCCCAAAATATTCTTCTTATTGATAAAATTTTTTTTAAAACAATTATGTTATACTTTAAAATGTTGCCTGGAAAAGTTTAAAATGATTATACTTTAAGTTTTACTATTCTATTGGTCGTGATAAATGTTGAGTTATTTTTTAAATTTATTATATTAAAATTACATGGATTAACTGAAATATTGTAATTACCTTATTATATGCACATTTCCGGTAACCAAAGTTTGAGATGCTCTTTGATAAACTCGGAAAATTTTTTTGAGAATACTCAAACATCATTTCTGATCAAATTTTACTTAAAATTCAAATCCTTTATAAGTAAATCTTTTGATCTTCTTTAAAAAATTATTATAAATTTTATGTTTTTTTTCAAACTCTACCGATAATATATATATAATTTTGATATCATCTTTTTGGTGTCAAAAAGAAAATTCATTTATAATCTTACCTAAAGTTTCACCGTCATCGATATACAAGACGCCCTCGGCTTCTCCTAATTTATTGAGCGCTATCAGAAGCCAATATGGGTTTTTTAAACTATTAATACAAAAGATAATATATAAATTGTTGTAAATAGCGAATATTTTATTTCTTTTTTTTGGAAAACAAATCAAATTTTTTTTAAAATAATAGACTCTATAGTCAGGGATGCGAACCCGGGAAAAATTTTAGCCGGGTTAGGTTCGGATTCGATTCAAGGTTGAAAAAAAATAAGTGGGTCCAGTTCGGGTACGGTTCAGATGTATATTTTTGAATCCGGGATTGATTCCTGGTTCGGCTCGGGTTTACGAATTTTGATTTAATAAAAAAAATCTATATTTAGTGGGTGATTCTCTGTATCTAAGGAGGTTGGCGTTCCCACTCAATCTGGTGAAATGTGAAAGTTGTTGAGTGCGTTTACTACTATACCTGTGGAGGTGTGGGTTCTTCCTAACGTCGAAATTCTCTAGGTGACCTAATAATGCCAACGCGTCATTTATTTTATTAAATATTTTCGCAAGATGGGGTATTTACAATAAATAAAGAGAGAACTTAACCTTATAAAAAAACTGGTATTTTAATTTTTTTTTAAAAATTGTGGGAAATATTTTTCCAAGACAGGCCAAAATTTTGCTAATTCTTTTTAAGCTCCGGTCCAGACAACTTCCAAATCTTATTTGGAAAAAAAAACCTTTTATAAGTAAATATTTTGTGACACATAATTAAACCACAAATTTCAATTTTATAATTTTCAAAAAATTTTTGCTCAAAATTTTAGGCAAATATAATTTAAAATATTCTAAGATTTTTTTCCGAACTCTAAAAAAAAATCATTTTACGATTTTCACATGTGAGCCGAGCCGACCTTTAATACTATATATTTTCAGCTGCGAAAAATAAAAATTCAATCATAATTTTCTATTGTTTTAATAGGATTTATGCATTGTCGTTAGAAGAGGGCACAATTGGGAGCACTAATTTATTCAAAGACAAATTTATAGTTGCTAAAAACATTTATTAGGTTTAGGAACTGACATAATAATACTTATCTAGACTAACGATTCTTTTATTAAAATAAGGAACCCGGAACGAAGGAATTTTGCTTTCATTTTCCGTTCTAGCCAAAGTTCCATTCTTTGGAATGATCTGTTGGGCAGGTCCTCCGGAAAAAAGTCTAGATACAGATTCTTTATAAAAAAATGAATCTTAGATACAGATACTAGTATCTTTTTCAAAATATCAAGAAGATACAAGATAAAGATACTTGTATCTTTTACTAAACTAGAGTATCTTAAATACAAGATACTTTTTATTATCATTACCAATTAAATTAGAATAGTTTATAAAATACAGTTTTTTTTATTTATTTGTGAAGAACATAACATACTCATATAATAAGAATAAATGTTTACAATAATTAATAAAATATTTATTGATGAATTAATTATAATAACCAGAGATTTTAATATTAGCTTTTGCCCATTAATAGCATAAACAGGAAAGTGAGAGTAGTATATTTAATGTGAGTTGAAAATTTGCAAAATAAAAAAAAATTAAATCAAATCATTATTTTTTAAAATAATTAATTTTTCAAATAATTTATCATTGAGCCTTTGCCTTTTTGACGTATTTAGCATTGTGCCAAAACTAAATAACCTCTCAACAGGAGCTGATGAAGGTATGGCAGTATTATATTTAAAAAAAAATTCCTTAATTAAAGGATAAAAATTTAGCATTTCTAGTGTTTGGTCTTTAATATAATATAAAACCTCGGTCTCAATGTTGTTTGTATTGTTGAACTCAACAACATTTGCTTCACCAAAAAAATATAATCATCATTTTCTTTATTAGATACTAAATCTACTGGTGAGATAGCAGGAGCTTGATTGTACACTATAGATGCCAGATTTAAGGCTTCATTTAATAATATATTTTGAAAATATTTTTTTTTATTATCAGATTCAATCCATAGGTTCTTAAAAAATGGATGTGATAATGATGCCAAAAAGGCCTCATTATATTCATCATCATAAGAAAAAAAATTTCCAAATCTTTTGCCCATGGCATTTTGGACAGCTTTTAATAGAGGTAGACAATATTGTAAACTTGAATGTTCAAGTTTACCTAATTCCCTTTTTACTACAAATAGTATGGGCACTAATTACCCATAAAATGTACTACTTTGCCTTTGTAGTTTGTCTAATGCAATTGCTATAGGGCCTAAAACTTTACAATATTCCTCCATATAAACAATATTCATTTCTTTATTAGGACAATCAATTGTTTCAAATAATAATTTTAAATCGTATTTATATTTTAATAATGAAGTCATACTATCATATAAACTGTTCCATCTCGTCATGCATGGAACCTTTAGCTGAATACCACCTGTTATCTCCCTTATGTTTTCAAGATTTGGGCCTTCCACATGCATTCCATAATTTTGTGCATTTCCCCATTAGTCTATAATGAATCTTTTCAAGATTCTTCGAGCTTGATATTGATGAAATAATATCTTTAGTTGCAATTAAGGACAAAGTGTGGCAGGCACATCTGATGTGCCTGGGTAATATTATTTAGTTTATATCATCTAAAGATAAAGATTTTAAAAAAATTCTAAAAAAAATCTGTACTAACCATCATTGATTTCATTAAACTCTAATAAATCATCCTCATCCTCAAAATCGTTGTCAATAGCATTTAATTTCACACCATATTCACTAAATGACTTTACAAAATTGGATGCATTATCTGTGACAGTAGCAATTAGTTTATTTCTCATACTCTCTATAGACTTCTTCCAATAACTCGGCAATTTTATCAAATGAATGTGTGCCAGGCATTCTTCAACATGCCAAGGATCTTGATTGCCATTCAATGGTTTCTCTTGTTATCTTTGAAATAATTTATAAAAAAAATTAAAATACGATATAAATACCCAGTGAGCTGTTATTCCCATAAAACTATGGGTTTTTGTAGACCACAAATCTGCCGTGGTACAAATATATGATTGGGCCTTTAAAATATTTTTTAAAGTATCCATGATTTTCAAAAATTTCCTCTATTCTTCTCTGCAAAGACCTCCTTTAAAATATTTTAAATGATCCAATATTACTAAGAATATCATATCAATATTAATCTATATAAAATAATCTAACCTTTCATCATTGTAACAAATTTAGGCTGTTCAACTAGGCACATTATTCATTAATTTTTCCGACGATACCTCTTACATATTTATTTACGTAAATACTAATTATTATAACGTTTTTACTTCATTGTTATTTTTCTTGTGTTTGTATCAAAATTTTATTGGTTCGATCTCCACGTATACCTAATACTACTATTGGGAATAGGCCTCCGCCACCGTTGGATTTAATCACCACCCAGGCGCAAGGCCAGAGACAATTGGAAGGCTCTTTCTTCGAACTTACGCCTAACAATTCGGTCGAAGTCTCTCCTCCGGATCCCAATTCTCAGGCGCTTATCTCCGCGATGCAAGCAATTTCAGCTCAAATGGCAGCATTATCAACGCGGATGGATAACCAGGAACAAATCACCTCTAGATCTCGTTCCCCACGACACACGTCAACGCCGAGAACAGCCAACGTGGCAACAACAAGTGGATCATCCCAGCCCCCGGTCGTAATACCGCCGCCACTCGAGCCACCCCAAACCCCCGCCGAAGCACACGATAGACTGACGAAAGTCTGGGCAGGGTTGCAGCAAGATCTTTTGGAACCCAACTGCAAAGCTAAGATCAGGGATCGCCATGAGATCAAGCATATTGTGGAAATGGTAAAAATTCTTTCTCCCGAATCTGACATCCGGGCGCTCAAGATTATGACGAAAAGAATCCGAGTCCTAGCCCTAGCTATCCATTGGAACTGGCAAACGTCAAGGAACAACGATGCGTCATATCAGGAGAAGTTCCTTTGCGGCGAGAGACCCCCAGCCGAGAAAAGGGCCGCTACGGCCCTTCAACCTCGACTTACAGAGCCGGCCAGGAAGGAGGCGTCCACCTCCAGGGGCAAGAAGAGGAAGTGACAGCTTCAACGTCGCTCCCGCAACTAATCTTTCTCCTTCTCCTAATCTACCACTTTCACTATTACCTCTTTCTTCTTCTCCCTCTACTAACCCGCCGGTACCGGCAGAGGTTACCGGCCCGAGCAACGGCCCTCCGGCTCGAAGGACGAGAACACTGCAGTTCCCCAATTGGTTAGCCACCGTAAACAAACTCCTAAAGGATCTGAGGCATCAGATGTTCTCGCCGGATGACGCTTGGGGAGAGCGACGTGCCCGATCACACAATCGATAACGATCACACCTCTGCGCACCAAATACCCCCGGCTAACCCCCCTTCCGAATCAGACGTCCCATCGTTTCTTTAGAAGACTCTGGAATCCACGAATGGTGGAGACATTCTCCCCCATCGGAATCCTTTTTCTCCAGCGACAACTTGGAAGAAGCGAGGTCCATCGTCTCCGCACTTCAAGATTCGATCTATAGTGAAGACGATGCTGGTATGCCCCAAGGGGGTCCTTCAACAGCCCCGAACATTCCCGGTATCCTCAACGGTATCGTGAGCAATGGGCCTAGAAGCACCTTCACCGACGAACAACTCGCGCAACACCCGAGCCTCAACATCAGCACAGCCCGATTAACAACCGGCCCCTCGATGTCACCATTCACCACAAGGGTAGCCTGTGGAGGCTTCCGCTTGCGCTTAGACCACACGAAAATCAACAATAATAATAACCACTTCTTCGTACACCCTCATCGCACGGGCTTGCATAACAAATATCATGACATCGTGAATCAGCTGTTATTAGCCGACGTCATTGAAATAGGAGACGAAAACCAGATATGCTCCCCTCTCTTAGTCATCCCTAAGAGCAACGGAGCCCCCAGGGTTATCAGTGATTTTTCAGAAGTATCTAAAAACTTTCTTCACTATCCCTTCCGTCTCAAATCCATCCCTCTGATGTCGCAAAAACTCAATGAGGCATCCTTTGCCTTCAAAATAGACATTAGATCTGCTTTCTTCTCGATACCCCTTTCAATTGGGGTGAGAAAGTTCTTTGGATTTAACTTCAATGGCGCCAATTACAGATACAAAGTCCTTCCAATGGGCGCCTCCTTCAGCCCTTATTGCCTACAATCGATCATCCTCGACGCCTGTGCAAAGACGGTCAAAAAGGCAAATTACAATGTCTATCTTGATGACATCTTAATCTAAGGGGCAAACGAAGCAGATGTTAAATGGACAACCATGTCCTTACGACATACTCTAGAGGAATGGGGACTCCAAATAGCAGAGGAAAAGTCGGTCCTCGACCCCTCCCCTACCATTACATATCTCGGAGTCCCGATCGACCTCAATAATAAAACCGTTTCTGCAGATACCATAACCCGTAGAAGGCTCAAGAAATGCCTAGACGTATTCAGAAACCATACCTACCAGCACCTTCAAATCGGCCGTGAGCTTGCAGCAAGAGTCCTAGGCGTAGTAAACCATTACGCTTACACCATTACCGGGATGTATAGGCTATTCTCATCATATTACATCACTATGATCGACGGCCCTATGACACCCGCAGTGGACTCATATCTAGCTTTCAAAAAAGCTGAGCTGATAATCGACGCCCTTGCAACACCTCTATCACTACATTACTATGCAAATTCACCGGTCTATGTCGATGCCTCTAACTCTCATATCGGAATAAACTTTTGGGAAATTGACAACCTCTCAGTTGCATATATCGAGGCCTACCTCCTTTTCAACGTACCTACCCATGCTATCAGCCACATCAACGCCAAGGAAATTTTAGAGGTAGGAATGGGAGCAATCATGGCGATACATCGCAATAACGAGCACCCGATGATTTTCACTGACTCTTCAGTTGCATACTATACCTTCAGAAAAGGTGGATCAGGATCCCCATAGCTGGAGATAATAATAACACAAATAATATGCAAATTGGGACTAGCCAACTTCGCGGCTATAAGCCAAAACATTCAATGGATCCCCACGGATCAAAACCCTGCCGATCTACCATCACGAACATGGATGTCAGACAGGCAACACCTTGGTCTCTTCGAAGGACCTATTCTTGAAGCCGACATTATCCTTCAAAACGAGGAAGACTCCTTATTCGGTACTCAATCAGCGCCCGAAACCCCCTCGTTAATATCCGGCCTTCCCCGGTCCTTCTATCCCAGAATCCAATCAATCAACTACTTCTTATCAGGGGGAACAACTATCAATTCGATCCGAAGACCTCAATCTAGGATGAAACTATTGATCAAAAACATATGAATAACAATTTAAAACCTAAGAACGATTCCTCTTACATATTTATTTACATAAATACTAATTATTATAACGTTTTTACTTCATTGCTATTTTTCTTGTGTTTGTATCAAAATTTTTGATCAATAAAAGCCTTTGGGGTATAAAAGCCATAAAGGCCAATATACCCGGTTATATTCCTATGTTTCGCCCGAAAGGGCAAAAACATGTAAAGGAAATAACTGCGAGATGTAAACCCTTGACAATAAATTCACATATCAATTTATCAATTTTATTTTGGGTATTAGGTTGGTTTTATTTTATTATTTGTAATTGTATTAAATGATTCTGATATATTAGGTTGAATCATTTTTTTATGGTATTAGAATTTGAAGGTTTTTTTCTGTGCTGTTTTAAATATAGCTTATATTCAGAGAATATGGCTAAATGACATCTCTAATAAAAAAAAATATTAGTTCTATTTTATTCATTTATCTTTAATAAGTATTTATCACTTGTTTATGATATTTATGTATTTTTTAAATTAGTTTCATTATATGATTTATTAATTCTGTCTGTGCTTGTAATATCATATTTACTTATTTTATCATCTTATAAATATCATTCAAATCCCTTTCAATTTTTTTTTATATATTTCATGCAAAATCATTATAAAAAAAATATGAAAATAATGTACAACATTATATTATTTAATTATTAAATACATAACATTCTATTATGCATTCTAAATTGATTAAATTTAGTAAATAAATACTGTAATGTAATTTCTTTTATTTAGAGCCTTTTAAAATTATCTAATGTTATATTATATCAATTGTAGCTTAAATATTTCCTCTGATAAGAGAACTTGTTAAAATAATAAAAAAATATATATCCAAAATGATTTTAATTTGATAATCAACCATCTTCTATAAAAATTTTTAAAATAACCATTATCTAAGAGGGACTTAAGTATGTTAATTAATAAAATAAAAATGTATAAATATAATATAATACCTTAAGATGTTTAATAAAATTTGTAGATGAGTTTGTTGATCCTTTAATAACTTTTTTATTTGTACAAGTTTGACATTCCGCTTGTATGTTGCCCTTTTTCACATATATTATCTTATAAAATTTTCCATCTAGGATTTTAAGATTCAGATTTGATTCAGGAGAACCTATCTCCATAATTTCATCTTCACTACTTTCTTCACTACGAATATTAATCATTCTGCAAATCAAAAAATATTATATATAAAATATATCCTTTACTTATTTAGTTTTGGTGTTGTTATTTTTAATCTATCAAACTTTGTGACCTGTAAAATTTCCAACTAATTTTGGTAATCAATATATTTAAAATATAGCAGGAAAAAAATAAAGAAAATAATAGATTCCACGAAGAATATAAAGTTACATTGTGTAATATGTAAATGTTTTATTTAAACATGAATATTAAAAAGAATCTGTATCTGTATCTTTGTCAAGAAAATGGAAAAGATACAAGATTCTTTTCAAAATAAAGGATCTTAGATACAGATACAAGATTCTTTTCAAAATAAAGGATCTTAGATACAGATACTAGTATCTTATTAAAAAGGTCAAAAAGATACTGAGTACAAGATATAAAAGGATCTTGTATCTTAGATACAAGTATTCGCGGTACTGCCCAACTCTGCTTGCAACCTTTTAATATTTTTAATAAGATAATTGTATCTACAACTTCATTTTATTTTTTTATAGAGAGGCTGCATCTGTATTAGATTCCTTATTTTATTTTAAGGATCAGCTCAACTCAAAAGACTTAGCGCCATCGGCCCTTCGAGAAGGTGTTGTAGAAGAAAGAGTAATTAAAATTTTGATGTTTTTATACATGCATACATTTACAACAGTAAAAACTCCAATAGGAAAGAGACAAATTATTTTGATTCAACCTGACCCGAAGGAAGAAAAGCTTTTTCTTTGACCCAGAGAATACATATATTTATTGTAAGTATTTTGCAGTTCAAAGAATACAGTATACCCTAGTATTTTTCACAAATCTTAGTGTATATATATATATATATATATATTTACTCTCAACTTCGGAATCGGTGCCTGAAACCTAAAATTCATTCTGGTTCCTTTTAATTTTAAGGTATGGTTCCAAATGTTAAAGCCAATATAATACATTGTAATAGGTTTTTACCTAAACAAACCTACCTCAAATGAGTGTTAAGAGCTGGTTCCTGCAGAGGCATAATACATCCCGCTTTTACGTGCAAATTGATCTTTGTCAGCGGGGCATCTAAAACCATGTAATTTTTTTCTAAAAATTTCGTACCTCCGAAACGTAAATTATTCGCGTTTGTTCCATTATAGAAATCGTACCAATTACCGAAACCTCCAGGGAAATAGGCTTTAACGGCAAATGTGTTCTTTTTCGATATATGTGGGCATTTCATTTTATAAATTATTTTACCATTACTAGAATTTATTAACAATTTTTTCCTAGCAATTATCTAACAGGATTTTGATCGATCTCTTAAAATGTGGGTGTTTTTTTCGCTCTTTATTTATTTAAAGCATATTATACATATATAATAAATCGAAAAAGTTAAAGCATACTCTATCTAAAACAGGGGTTATCATCAAACAAGAACCCCACAAAAATTGTTTGTCATTGGAATACGTATTTACGTCAATAGGAAATCTTTTTTTTTCAATTATTTTTTAACATATATTGATCTTAAAAACTTACATACGGGTTTCTTAAATTAATCTGGGAATTCAAATAAGAAAAATCAGGGCTTGGTTCTGTGCCGAAGCTGGTTATCAATATTTAAAATTATATTTTATAAATTTAAAATACTTTATAAGGGTAGAATAAATTACTATTTTACATTATCATTATGTAATACGGAAATAGAAGAGCCCAGAATGATATTTTTTTCGGGACAAGCAAATGTATGCAGAGCTTGGTTCGTAGGCCGGGCCATTTTTTTAAAAGATTCTAACTGACCGGGAAACTTGTAGAAAAATAACAGGTCGAAACGGGTCGAGGTTTACAGATCTTTAATTGCATGCAATATCTAAACATAGTAAAATGATCGAACCTATTATTTTTTTTACTTATCTAAAAACAAAATATTAATCCTTATTCTTATTTAAGTTTATGATAAAAAATTTGATCTTGAATAGAATAAAAATTTATTCTAAATATTTTTAAATTCTGTCTATTTTTTTTTATCTTGTCAATAATTATTCTTCCTGAAAAAGCAACATTTATTTTTAAAAAAAATTAAATATTTTAGGCTGATTCAAAATGAAGATTTTTGAAAAATAAATAATTTTCCAAAAGAATGAAGATAAATATCGCCTGTCTCTGTTTAGCAATTGCCAAACATTGACTAAATTTTATTGAATTTTTATAAGGATTCCATTTATACCAATTCTAGGGCCCGTTTCCTATTTGTAATATATATCATACCCCGTAGCAAAAGTGAAAAAAAAGGTACCCAAAAATGGGTTGCGTCGAGAATCGACCTCCTTAAATATGATAACTTAGCTTCTTATCCCTGATTCATAATCAGCGCGAATTTGCGGCGAATTATAAAAAATGCATTTTGTATTCTCCTTCGCGATTCGCACTAACTGTGAATTAGGGGATTACGCATTATACAACCACGAGGCTTTAAAATATCCATAAAATAATTGGGTATTTATTTTAAAAATATCATTCAAATCATATAAGTTATCACACGGGATTTAATATTATATTAAAATATATCATTTTAAAAAAATCTAGTACTCGATATTTAAGCATTCATTTTAAAACGTGAAAAATCATGAAAAATCTGATCAATACTTTCTAAAAAAAGCTCACTCAAAAAATAAGGCCCGAATGACGGTATCGCCTCGGCTATTGGCCAAGTAGAAGAGGGTGTAAAGATAGGGCAACATAGAATAGCGAATTTTAAAGATGGTTCTAGTAGAACTGACTAAATCGGGAAAAGAATTGAGGAAAGCGGCAGGGTCTTGATCGTAAGAGTCATCAGTATTGTGATTCCGACTGAAGGGGTAAAAAGCTCCCAGCTGATGCCATCGAGTGCAAAGCTCGCTTGTTGTGTTCCCGTTAAAACCGCAAATGTCCGATCCTCGAAGTTATTGATGATTAAAAAAAAAATATTTAGTTGATATGTAATTATTTTCTAATCGTATCTTTTTATTTAAAATTATTTATAAAAATAGCATGTAAATAATTTTTATATATTAAACAAAAAAATACAAATAAAATTTTTTAGATATAACTATGGTTACCCTTTTGGAACACAATTGTTAAATCCATAATTTTTATACAACTTTTTAAATTTTATTTGTGAGTTCTATCTCATCGCTAAGATTAAAATTGAGGATCTATGATAGAAGGAATCTATTTCCGGTCAAATATCTTTCAAATCTATAATGGAGATATCAGTGATAGAAGGAATACATCTCCGGTCAAATAGAATTTCTCATATCTAAAATGCGGAAATAAGTTATAAAAAGAAAACATTTCCGGTCAAATCAAATTTTTCAAATCCAAAAATTGCCCTCAGCCACATGATTTGAGATTTAGAATCCGCATGGATATTATTATTCTTTTAAATCGATGGTAAATAAAATATATTAAATCCCGATATCGAACAATTAGCGTCCATTAATTGATTTTATAAACAATTGTTTTTTATTTACTTCCCCCTTTTTCCTGATAGTGTAAAGTATTCATTAAATATTATATAAAATAAACCGGTCATTGGGATTCCGTAAAGATTGTAATTGATCATGGAGGGTATGGTTAGCGCCATATCTTGATACGTAGACCACACGTCGCCAGACCAATGTCCGGCGTATTGACCTAAACCAAGGTAATTAGATCTAGTAATTATGAACGGCCTTTTGCCTACATTCAAGCGTTGCATTATGGCCCTGCGTGAGAAGATAATATATTAAACATATATGAGGGTCTATTCTTATGGTATTCATAAATGTTATCAATATTTTAAGAATATATTTAAATGAATAAATGATATCTAATTTATTAAAACTCGTGGGTAATTTTTGATTGTTGAAGACCGTATAAACTGTGCAGATTGTAATGGGTTGATATATTGTGGCGAGAATCCATACAAATGGTACGGTAATTCAAATTTCGTCCGTTTACGCCTTTTCAAGTTTATAAAAAAAAATTATAACTTATGAATAAAAATTATGATTTAAATGTATGATAACGCGGTTATTATTAATCTAGGAATTTTTTTCTGTTAAAAAAACAAATGAAAAAATCAACCTTTGTTTTTTGTTCGACTTTTAATGTTAGTATGCGATTTAATGTGTATATTTTGATCAATTTCCTAAAAATCAGTATCACTTACTGACTGACAACTGAAAATGTCTGGGTATTGTGTTAAGCATTATTTTTTCTGTTTTTTAAAATATTTTTCAGTTTTGCTTTTTTTTACATTACCCATTTATTTCCCAAAAAATTAGTTAAAAGAAATAGAAATAATTAATGTTGTTAAAGGACTTGATTTAGGCAGATTTTCAAAAATGGCTAATTCAGCATTTATTTCCCAAAAAATAATTAAGCAAGATTGAATTGCTCATAGATGGCACAATGGTTTGGACATCTATTTGCACAAAATCTCGGTGCTTGGGCAGTATTTATCTAGCTAAAATATTGAGTAAGCCGGTTTTAAAAATCCGCTCAAATCAAGCCGTTTAAAAACACTAGAAATAATATTCATATCCAACACCCAACTTTGGAAAATAATTTTATAGGAAAGAGAGAAAAAACATTTGAGTTTCTTTATTTCCATAAGAACTGGGGATGAGGGTTTAATGATTGATCCTATATCGATTTCAACCTAATTTTAGAACCTCAAACCAAGATTATATTCTGAATTATATATATTATTACCCTTAAGCCATCGAAATAAGAACCCCACCCCCTTTTATCTTTCTTTTTTTTTATATAAAAATAAACTCATCGGATAGGGTGGATAGTTGAGTAAATTTTTAGAATCGCAGCCAACAATTGATCCATCCACAAAATTAGCCGGTTCGTTCATATCCAACCATACCCCGTCTAATACGATTTCATCCTGCGTTTCGAACCTTTCAAATTGGTCGCCCCAGTATTTCAACACGGAAGGGTTAAAGAAATCGGGCCACACAGTAAGGCCGGGCCACACCCTACCCACGAAAAGTTTGTTATAAGCGTTTTTTATGAAAATGTCGGAAGAAACCCCCTGGGTAAATGGCAAGTATCCGGAATCATCAAGAACCGACTGAGAGGGTGAAGGGGAATACATTATAGCAGCGTCCTGCGTAAATAATTCATTTAAATTTTACATTATATGATATTTTATACATTGATAAACCTTTTCGATATAAAAAAATGATCTTAAAAGAAAATCACTCATCAACACATGAGCCAATTGAAGCCTAGGCAATATGTCATAACAATGTTACCGGATTTGAATCAAAAATATTAACAAGTGGTTTGTGAATTGTGATTATGATAAGAGGGAAGACAATCTGTCTGCTAAATATTGACTTTATTGATGGGCAACAACAATCACTTCTTTTTCAGTGACACAATCCTTCTGTTCGATTGATGACTACACTTGACAAAACAAAGAATTGACTTATTATTAGATATAATATAAGATGTTTATATGATTACAAACAATATACTGTATAAAGTTAAAACACGCGATTATACGCTTTAACTCTCATGGGCTTAATAAATAGCGTTTATGTAATTACGCCAGAATGAGTTATATGAATTGTTTATATATATTTTTTTACTTAAATTTTAAATAAAATGAGTATTTTTTTACGATAATTGAAATGTATCTCATGCCGAGAGATCGCAAGTATTTTATGTAATCGGGCAAAAGTCGAAAACGTTTTTTATCGTAAGTGAAATCTTTACTGGCTTCCATAGCGTCTATATCGCTCCAATGCACGTCCTTTAAGTTTAAATCAATTTTATAAGAAAGAAAAGTCGATGTATAAGGTAAATAAAATTAACAAGATAGTAAAGCTGTTCGATATATAAGATGGGAATTAAATCGGCAGCGATATTGGTCATTTCCGAGAAATAACGGATCGGTCCGATATCATTAGAAACCCGATATGATTCAATTTATTAAAATAATATAATAATCGCATAATAAGCTATGTATTCCCTAGCATATCCTTATTTTTTAAATATAAATATTTTTTTTTAATAACAATCATCAGATTTAAAAAAAATAAGGATATGTAAGAATTTGATTTTATATATTTTGTTGTGATCATGAGAGGATTTTTCGGATAATTTTTCTACGATTAATAGCCTTTCCTGACATTTTTACACCTGACGAGGAATTCGTTAATTATATTTTACCCCTGATCACAACCTCCATTATCAGTCCCAAGATGGTGCCGCTCCCCAGCCACTTTGAGGCAAGAGGTTGGATTTTGAAGGAATATAATAAAATATTCATATCGGAGTTAATTCCCAATTCAATTGGAGAGTAATATTATCTGAAATAAATTGTAAATAACTGATTATTTTTTTCTTCTTCTATACCATAAACATAAATCTTCACCTTATATAATTAGAGAAGAGAATATTTTAGAGTTTAAACACAAGAAGGCTTTGTAATACTCATTTTATAAGAAAAGTTAGTAGTATAAATATTTTAAAAAAAATGAAATGAAGTTAAAATAATAAATATTTAACAAGTAATTTTTTAATTTTAAAAATCAGATAGGATGGTTCTTAGAAAATATTTTCAATATCGAATTGGCGAATATTGCTAATCGTACGGCCTCTACAGTGCTATTTTTTGGTGGAATTTGGTCTAAAATGATTCTTCTTTTTAGACTCAAAGAAAAAATTTAGAATTTCAAAAAATAAAACAAAAAAGTAAAGGTTTAAAATTTTTTATTATTAAAAAAAGCCCTCTAAGCCGGCGAGATTATTTTTTTCCCCGATTATATTTGTTTTATACTCAAAAAGTTCTAAAAATAATTATTTTAACTATATTTTTTATTATTGTTAATTCAAAGGTATAAATAATTAATATGTTAAAAATGTAAACAACACACAATATCGATATCTATAATATAGAAAACATTAATAATAAAAAACAAAAAATATATAATCTCCAAAATTTATAAGGGATCGTTTTTCTATCTTATTTATGTTAATTTAATTTTATCTATCAACTTCAAAATCCCAGATACATTGATATTAAATAATCTTCTCCAATTAAAATAATACGCACAATGGGTATATCCAGTGCTAAGTTCCGGTTCAATGTTTGATTCATGGAATCCAAGGTGTTGTAACCAAATCTAGATAAGTGAAATCCCAGGCTCCAATAAGGCACCATAAATGGTCTGCCAATGAAATGGGTTGCTTGGCGAATCACATCTGGGGGAGAAGGGCCAGTGAATAAGAAAAAATCGATTATCCCGCCTATACTCCTGAAGGTTATGGCTGGGTATGGTTGTATAATGAATTCTGTAAGATATTCCAAATGAAAATAAAATTATATATAGTTTTTTTATAGCTTATATTTTGTTCTTAACAATAAGTGAAAACTTTATTGGTATAAGATTAATTAGACTTAGGTAGCTGCGCTAAGCAAGTGCTATTCGTACCTAGCATATTTTCCGTTTGAGTGAAACTCTTTTTTTTGAGCACCCCAAAATATATATATCATTGAGGAAAATTAAATTATTAGCAATTAATTAAAAAGATCTACTAACATGATTGGAACTTGGAATGAAATATGCCATATTAAAATTATATATAATAAAATGGGCATGACTAAAATACGCACACCCGGAAATTACGCATTCCCTATTATGAAAACGTAAATTTATTAATAATAATATAGAATCGTATTTAGCTTACAAAGTTGATTTAGAAAATGGTTTTTTTAATTAAAAAAACTGGTAAATTAATGAAATAGGGGCTTCAACCCGAACCGCGAAACCGATAATTTTCTGAATCATAACTGAACCATTATAAAGAATATATAGAAAGAGAAAACAGAACTGTTATAAATTTTTTGAACCGGTTTAAACTGGTTCGTAACGGTTTTTAAAAATATTTGATTTTAATTATTAACCTAAATTTGAAATTTTAATTTTCCATGAGGACAATTTATATTTTTGATTTCTTTTCAAATTAAAATTTTTCTACAATTAAATTTACTTCATATCAGTCAGTACCAAGTTTATTGTTTTTACTTAATATAACCAATTTAATAGAGATTAGACAAATTACTAGTTAATTGCTAAGAAATAATCTTCTGGTTAAATTATAAATATATAAATTTGCAATGGTTAGAGCCACGATCGTAGGTTGTTCTACCATCGGGGTAGGGGGGGGTCGTCGGAGTTCAATGGTCGGGGATTGTTGGAGAGTGGGACTGAGAAGCCGGACTTATCGGGCACTCTGGTCATCGTACAAACATTTTATGTAGAAAAATCGTGAATTTATTGAATCTAGATTTTAGTAGTAACAATTAGGTATAATTAAATTCGAATAAAATAAAATTACAAAATAAAATTATTTAATGATCACGATTATATATTTTTTGTTCTTATATACTAAAAATTTTGTTTACAAAAAAAAATCCATCGACGTATTTCAATAAAGATTTTATCATATTGGCCATCCTTAAAACTGGCTAAGACCAGTTTCAAGTGAATAAAATATAAAAACAAGCTCTGTTTATAATTTACAATCATGTAAAACAAAGGAAAGAAAAATACAGTTTTAAGTTAAAAAAAATATATAATAAGGATCTTTTTTTTTCTTTGTTATAATTTACAAGTAAAGATTTATAAGAGACAAACAATGTGGGGAGGCTTTGAAAGAGGTAGTATAATAAGAGATTTTTAAGTGGAGAACACAACAAAATTAAAAAAATTTTTCTCTAAGATTAATATAAATATATAGTTTATAATTATTATTTTTTTAAAAATCCATAACCGTTATAAATAGAACCGAACCTTAAGAATTTCTTCAAAAATACCGAAATGGAGCAAGACCTTTATAAAATTTAAACTAAAAACCGAAACGAACCGAACAGCTATACAGGTTCGAAACCCTGAATAAAATATTTAAAAAAATACTTTTAACATGACTAAAATATGTCTCCTCAATAATTTTGTGCGATTTTTAATAAATTAATACAGAATCATGTTTAAGTCTTTAAAATAATTCAGAAAATGGTAATATTAATATTTTTTTAATATTTTTTGACCAAAATATCCTTCCCCTCTTATAGAAGCTCAAATATATAAAATTAATATAGAATCGTGATTAGCTTATAGAGATAGTATAGTAAATGTTTCTTTTAATTGTTAAAAAAATGGTAAATTAGTAAATTATTTTCAAAAAAACTTTTTGGATGACTAAAATACACATAACCAACCAATCCATACGCATCCTAAATAAATGGGCAATTTTTAATAAATTAATACAGAATCATGTTTATGTTTTTAAAAGTAATCAGAAAATATTAATATTAATATTAAAAAAATTTGTTAAATTAGTGGAATATGGGAAAAAAACACTCGTTTTTTTAGTAAATTGCGAATCTTAGCTAATTACAAGCGAATAAAAAATAAAAGTTATATCATGTCTAACATCTTAGGGTGATCCGGAAAATGTTAGGGTTATAAAAATATATGGTAAATTTTTAAAAAATGGAAAAAGACTAATTTATAAACAATCGTTTATTGGTAGAAAATAAACAAAAATTCAATTATCTTTAACATGTTATGATTATCCAAGAAATGGCAAAGTAAAATTTAAAAAATGTACAAGAATATTTTAGAAAAATAAAATTTTTTGACAAACTAATAATCTTATCTATATGAAATATCGTTAGATATAATTATCTTTTTGTGGAATTATGTTTTACATGTATCAGGTCAGGCTCAGGAGCTATAATTATTTATCAAAGTCTACATTTTTAAGCACTAAAATTTACTAAAATAATCATATTCATGATGGCATATATTTATGAGGGGATGAGTGTCCTAGTTTGTAAATTATTTATTTTATTTATTATTAATGTCATTTTTTTTGTAAAATGAAAATTATGATTATTAATTTTTTTTACGGATTAATTTTTTTATGGATGAATTTTTTCTACGATAATTAATTTTTTGCAAATAAATTTTATGAATTTTTGAATAAAAAAAGATATTTCTTGTGTTTTATTAATTTAATATTTTTGCTGATTAATTTAGAGACTTGATTAAGTTAAGTTATAAGTTGAGTATTGTCCCCTTTTAAGTATTTTTTTTACGCACTAAATTTTGGTTAGTTCACCTCGTTATTTTGTCAGTTGTAGACCGTATTCCCAGGATACAAAAATCATGGAGTTATTCGTTATTAAAAGGTAAAAAAACCAATTTTTTTATATATAAATTTTGAATTTTACTTTGAAACCACAACGCAAGTACTATCCATAAATATTTTTGATTAATTAATTTTAAAATTTGATAAAATTCTAGATTAATTAGTTTTTATAAAGTAAAATTTTTTTTAAAAAATATTTTGAAATTTTTGTTTGCACGGCAAATATACGGTAATATAAATTTTTAAGGTAATGAAATGGGCTTTATGTTTAATTTTGACGTTGAGCCTAGCTTGTTTAATAAACTTTCGGAGTATCCGAGTATCACTTATCAAATATTGTATAAAACTATTGATAAATTTGATTTGAATAATATATTAGTGACAATATTATTATTGGTCATAATATATGGATTATTTGTTTATGTAAAATTTTCACTAAAGAAATGTATCTTTTAGTGACAAAGATATGTATTGGTTTGAAAAAAGACACAGTGGTGTCAAATAATTCTTGTATTCAAGAAGGTGTGGAGAGATCAGTGGTGATCCTCCAAGAATTAAAAGAATCAATCAAAGTAAATTGATTAATATGAGTAATCAGGTTGAAAAAAGACTATTTAATGATATTTCAAATGGAAAAAGTCTCTTACCAAAAACTGTTGGAGAAATGATTTGTAATCGGTGCAGTTACAAAGGTCATTTTTCTAAAACGTGTGTAGTAAAAGAACAGAATTTTAAAATGGGTTTCCCATTACCAAAATCTAGTGTAGAAAATTCCAATGTGAGGAAAATTTCGGGTCTAGATAAAAATAAAGTTAATTCAGTGCAATCAAATCAGGATGGGTCCCGTTTGTGTTTTAAATGTAACAGACCGTGACATGTTGCTATAAACTGTACGGAGAATTGACTATATGATTGCAGGTGCAATCATATAGCGGGTAGGAGACCTAGAAGTCTAAATTTTAATAAATTGTATAATAAGGCTGAAATGAGATATGATTCTCATGAAAGCTGTGATGTTAATGAAAATTTTTGTTTTCATGATGATAAAACTAAAAGTATTAAAGGTAGTAATAATTTTAGATGGGAAAAATATCCTAAGGATATTGTTAAATATTCTGATAAAAAAGATGTTAATAATTTCAAAGGGAAAAAATATCCCGGTGATATTCCCCAAAAATATAAGAATATTATTAGAGAACCGCTAAATTCTGAGTTGAATTTATGTTCAAATGTGAATTCTAATGAAACTGATGTTTCAAATGAATTAAATATTGATCAGTCACAATTAAAACATATGAGATTTTAATGACTGAGAGATTAGTTGAACCTTGTCCTTGTCAGAGAGCTACCGTAAGGGTTAACTCGAGGGACATCGATATGTTGTTCGACACAGGGGCTAGCATTTCAATAATGTCTAGAAAAATTTTTTATAAGCATTGGCCTGAGGGTAAACTTAGAAAAGAATCTATGTGCGTCAGGCAGTTTGTTGGATCCGAAATAATGGTTTTGGGAAAAACTAAATTGGGAATTATTTTCAATGATACGACATTTTCCCTAGATTTGTGGGTAGTGAAGAAAGATGTGGAAACCATCATGGGATGGGATTGGTTTATCAAGTTAGGTCCTTTCAATAATTATTGGAATATTTTTGCCACACAGAATGGTTCGGCCATAAATGAGACCAAAAACAAAAATATTGCTAATAATGCTCGAGATTAAATTTGTGAAATAGAAAGAACGAAATTAACCGTAAAAAGAGGGAATTCAACCCTTAATTCTGATATGTATGTAATTTCCACGGAATTAATGGTGGAGGACAATATTAAAATATTGAAAACCAAATGATTGCTTTTAACGGTAATGAATTATATAAAATGCGTGAGGATATATCTATTTTAATGGAGAAATATGAAATAGTTTTCGAAGAGGCTTTAGGCTGTCTTAATGATTATCAAGTGGATGCAAAATTAAAAGAGGGATTTTCGCCTATTTTTCTAGCGTGTCGACGAGTTTTTTTGAATGGGAAAAGGAAATTGATGAAGAATTCGATCAATGGGTTAAAGATGGCATCATTATTCCAATTGATTATAGTGAGTAGGCCACCCCATTAGTTCCTGTTAAAAAATCAAACGGAAAGT